CAAACTTATTCACATAGAAACAACTATCTGCACAGAATGATGCTATTCATGAACTGTAAATAAGGAACTGATTAATTTCTTTCTTTGTTCAATGAAAAATATAGTCCACATAGAATATAATTAGGTAGCTCGGATTGCTGGATTGTACCTAATAACTTACCGCAGCATGTTGATATCTTGGTGAAGGAGCCACCCCAGGAGCAAGGGTCCATTCCCACTGACCATTCCTATGCAGTAGCAGCCCATAAGCATCTGATAAAGGCTGTTGAAGCAGGAAGTAACCAAACAAAGCATTAAGCCAAATTTCACTGACCAGCTAGTTGCAACTTAAGACAGAACAGATAATGTGTGTGCTTGCAGAGACTTAAGCTAGTTGCAATCATAGTTAATAATTTAATACACACAGAAATTTCCTTAATTTTCACAACATTACGAACAAGATCCAAAAACATAATTATTGATGAAGCAAGAGGGTAGATCTTGGGACTCATAGAATGATTGCTTCTTTCTTAAATTGAACAGTTCTTTGAAAATATTCATCTATCAGCTTGAGGATCCAGATGATACTTCATTTTTATTTTAAGGAAAAGAAATTGTACGATAACAATGATTCCAGGCTTTGATGATTATCAAGAGAAGAATGAAAAAGAGAAAACAAATTGAGTTCATGGATTTACATAAGGGCATAGAGAACAATTTTTTTTTAATGTTTGAAATAAGTTAGTACGAGGTACCTTGCAAATTGGCCTGACTAGAAAGAATTAGAGAGAGAACAAAAGTCGACAGAATTTGAATTGGAATTTGAATTACTTTCTTCTTCCCTCCATCTAGCTATATATATGCTAGCTGAGCCGCCCTTGTACTTACAACCAAAAATAGCCAAAATATAAATTTGAATTTATTCCCAACTGAATTAAAATCCCTCTATTTTACCTTTTTGCCCTTTTTCCTTTTATATGCTTTAAGTGGTTTCTTCGTAGTTAGACACATGTATTGGTAAAACTTTAACCTTGCACTTGAATCATGCAAGATAAAAATAAAATTTTAACTAGAAATAAAAAAAAAACAAATCAGAATCTACTCTCACTATTAATTGTTCAGTTATCAATAAATTAACCTGTTCATTTTTTAAGATTGTATGTTACTATGGAAAGAAAAACCATACCGTGCCAGAGGAATCTCTCCCACCGCAAAGCATAAACATGCCATCCGAACGAGCACTGGCTGTTGCATACCTGAGCAAAAATGTGTAGTCATGTGACACCTGAAATAAAAAACTTTAACAGTATTCAATTTCTGGTAAACTAATTACACTCACATTCTAGCAGAAGGTCTATCACCCTCTGGGTTCAATTTCTGCCATGCATATGGTTTCTGAGTAGTATCCAGTGCCCAAGTATCAGAGAGAACTCTTTTCCCTGTGCACGCCAAATTCATACAATCAGTTTTTAAAACAACCATCAGAGAAGACTTCTGATTCCAGTCCAGATATAAACACACAGGTTCAAGAATGTTCTGAGCCAGGTTACAGTTTTCAAAGATCAGCAGCCTGAGCTCTGACTCACTAGAAAAATAATCTTTAAACCTGGTTACTTATTTAAGCCACGTTTAAGTCCATGTGCAAAAAATATAACCACTTCATGCACTCTATTGATGATTTCCATAACAAGTAACAGATTAATGTTGTTGCCATAATAAAGATGAAGATCATCTACAACGCTACATTGCTAACCACTAGGAAATTAAAACGTTATTCATCAGATTTAGTTGACTTGAGGAAGGAATCCACTGCTGTATAACTCAGCAGCTTTTTGCTCTATCTAAGTTCTGTTCCTTTTTGTCTTTTTTGATGAATCGCTATCAAAGTTCCGATAACCCACATGACACAACCTTATAATATAATTACCAAATGACATAAAAAGTTAAGGTAGAGAACTTTGGTAGTACTTAAGAAATTTAATTACAAATATGAACATGAAAATAACCTTACCGTCATTGCCACTGACTGTAACAAGATATCTTTGAGCAACCAAGTCCATAGCATGGCCATAGCGAGGTCCGGGACCTGGTCCTTGCACAACCACTCTACAGACACATTGAACCAAAAAGGGCAAAAGAAAAGCAAAAAACAAGGAAAGAAAATCTATGATTAGTTAAATCCAAATAATAGTGAACAATCTAATGCAGGAATTAGATAACAGAAGCTCACCTGTGCCACTTCAACTTCTCGTTAGTCAAATCAAGCACGTAGAGGTCATCAGTAGAATGCCCAGCAGGACCAATACCACCCTATGCAGAAAAGACAAGAAGGGAAATGTTCAGACCATACTGAGCAAGATCAACGGGGAAATCGAACAGCAAAAACCTCCAGATGCCGGATCTTAGTAAAGCTCCATTGATTTTTTAATCACCTGAAAAACAACCATAGTCCCCACAGCACCTGCGGCGTGCGCAGCCCTAGGAGATGGCGGGTCTCCCGCTGGCCTGATCCTGCACAATTCAGAATGAAAACCAAAAAAAAAACACTAAACTTTATCCAGAATACCAAAAGAGAGAGCAAACTTTTTAAAAAGACAATAGAGGTAGAAGCTAGTTTACCTGGTCCACTTTCTTGTCAAAACACAATAAGAATGAACTGAATTGGTCACACCAGCTAACCCTACAAGACCAGAAACAACAAAACTCAATTCACCATTACCATATTTCGAAATAGAAAGACAAGACCAATCAAGAAGCAAAACAATTGTACTCAACTGATGCCAGGAGCGGAAGCGGATGCACCGCCCTCGATGGCGGTGGCGCCGCCGAAGAGAATCAACCGAGGGCCATGCGTCTTAGTCGCCGCAACGGCGGTGAGAGTATGGCCGCAACGCGGGCCGGGCGCATCTTCATCAGTGTCCCAATACGTCTCCAAGGGCCTGTAAGTGGGAGCGGGATGCAGCCATGACTTGGAACCCATCGGGCCACCTCGCTATCTCAACTCCCACAACTGAGAGTCCTGCACACTTAGCCAGAAACAAAACCGCAGCGATGGATTTTTCAAAGGCAAATCAATACACTCACCATTAGCAGCGATGATATCAACTGACCCAAACCCGAGATCGGACCCGGCTACTCCGCCGGATCCTTTTGTAAAATATAATTTGACTTTTTTTAATTATTAATGAGAAAGACCAGAGACGAAGAGGAGGAGAGAGTAGGTTGGTATTTTGGACTTTCATCATCCAAGTCAACCGTTTCAACAGATTGCAGACAAGCTTGAAATGTCAAAAATGCCCGCGCGGTTAATTCGGAATTTTCAAGGGTAATTTGGTCTTTTCAAAAATATAAATAAAATAAATAAAAAGTGCTCTACTTTCCAAATAAAATATCTCAGATCAAACCCTCCCCTTTCCCGTTATAAGATGACGTGTGATACATATTTATGTAAATATTTATTAATTAATTTATTTATTTATAAAATGTACCATTTTATCATATTTAAATAATTTTTTTTTTTTTTTCACACCATTAAATGAAATTCCTAGTACTTGTTGTTTACATTTGTTTCCTACTAAAACGTATGGAATCAGTCTTAAATATTAGAAAATTAGGTACTTAATTTCAGTATCTTATGATTCTTATTATATTTGCAGTACACATTTATAGCGTTCCAATTATATATTGAAAGCAAGAAGATGACATATATTGATTAATAATAAGAGAAAAATTTTGACTATATGACCATAAAATAAAAAAGTTTAAGCGCTTTGCTCCTTACCTTTTTTTTTTTTTTGTATATATTTCAAATACTATTGGGTCATGGTTGACTCTGCAAGGCTGGAAGCTGAAAAAAAATTCCTTCTTCCTCATTGTTCAAATTTGAATCTTTCCTCATGACCATTTTAAAGATAAGGACGATCTACAATTTTTACGATCAAATCTCGAATTACATGTCGCTATTGAGGTTGACAACGTGTTTTCATACCGAGATCATCTCTAGTACAGCTCATGACCTGTTTTCACTTAGCACGCCAAGGACAAGTGATTGTCTTACCCACGGTCGATTTAGCAGTGACGCGATAGATGAACACACACGTCCCAAATGGTCACTTGCTTCCCGATCTCAACAACATTATGTATTGCAGACTGATAAGCACTAAAATAAATGCTCCGAATCCTTTTTTTCGGCCCAATGTCATGTGCCACAATATTATAAAATATCACCATGGTTCTTGCAGCAATTTTCAAAATGAAGTAGGCAAGTAAATCAAGGACATGGATTAGTAAACCTTGAGTGAACTCTATTGATTTCAGCCATAACTTCGCATGTGAGCTCAACCTTGCAAGCTCTGAGGGTGTCCTGCAGCTGCCATGATTGAGTAGCACCAAATATAGCACTTGCAACAAGGGGATGCCTCAAAACAAAAGCTGCCCAATAGAAAAGGAAAAGTAAGATTTGTTACCAAAAACCTTAATAAGATTATAGGTCTTTTGCAATAAAGAGACAGATTCAAAAATTCATGCATTTCTATGTACGAACATCCATTAGCCAAGAAAAAGCAGCCAATATTAGAACTTTGCTTTGTGCAAAATTCATCCACGATACTAGTTCGTTCAAGATTCAACCTCTGCTTACATTCTCAATTTCATTATCATGGTTGAGGAACATTATCTGAGGAAATATAATCAAGGCCATGTTCAGAATCTTCAGCTAAAAATATTACTCCTCGACAGTTTAAATTTAAAAGCAAACAGTTAGAATCCCTAATGGACCAGCCAATCTAGAAAAATACAGAAAATGAAGGCTCCACCGATTGATAGAATAAAGTTAAGGAGAGGACAAAAATAGATCTTAATCAACCAATTTTGGTAAAATTAGATTAAAAAATATTCTGGCTTATATAAGTGCAAAGGCAAAACATCTATTCTAGATCACTCAGCAATCTTCTTTATTTCATTAGCAAACCCAACACCACTATACCAGCATCAATAATCCAGACATCAGAATCAGATATATTTGGTAACTAAAGTTAACCTACAATCACCCTTCTATTTGTAATTCTCTGATGCCCATTCTGTACATAACCAGTCACCCTAGCTACTTCAATGTAAAATCGATATTACCTTGGACTTAAAGAGCACATAGTAAAGAAAACAGTTATTCCACCTTATAGTAATGTTAACACTTCCAGAGCTCCTGAATGCTGGTGTAAGAACAGAGAAAGAAAGTTGTATCATACCAATTGCAAGTGATACAGGATGAAGACCATGTCTTTCTGCTATGCCAAGGTACTCCTAAAGAGAGATAAGGGATAATATATCAGCTGTATTTAACATATAATAACAGATGCACAGATACTGCTAGAACTTTCCTAACAAAAGCTCAAAAGCTGGATCTCTAAAGGTAGCATGAACTCCATTTAATTTATTTCTTTCGCTGTTATTTGCAGTATTAAATATTTTATTGAAAAAATCTACTAACCATAGTAGCAGCTTTAATGGTGCTATTGGATAAGTTATATCGGGATTCCCCTTCAGAATACTTTCCTGAAATATGGAAGTCATCATTAATCATTTATACTCCAAAAGAAAATCAACTATACTCCAAATTGTAGCAAGTTCATAAATGCTAATGAATCAAGCCAAGATCTTAATGACTAACCTCTAAAAAGATTTAACCGCGCTGCGTCTGGACCCCCATCTTGTTTAAAATACTTCCCAGAAAGGATGCCCATTGCAAGAGGGCTATAAGCTAATAAACTGATTCTGAGAAAGGCTCAACAGCATGACAGAGAAAGTATCATAAGAAATCAGTAGAAAAAGTAAGATTACAGATAGCTAGATAACCAACTTAGGAGAACCAAAGAGGAGGGCCTTAGCTTAGAAATGACAAATTATAAAAGTTGTGCATATTATAAAATTTTAAGTGCCTTTTCCATGTAATTTGGAACTAGAAGTAAACTTCCAAGTGATTTCTTGTCATATTCCATCAAGCATGGACCTTTTAAGTCAGTTGTCTCTCATCCTAAGCTCTATTATTAAATGTTATCATGGAAATGAAATAAGTTACTTATCCTTATGATAAAGTCAAGGCAGGTAGACACAAATTCACATTTAAACAACCAAATAATCTTAAATGTTTAACTCGTGACTGCACTCCCAATCTATTGAGATTAAATTTAGATATAAGCAATGTGTACTGTGAGAACTCACAGATGCAACAAACTTTATTTTATTTCCAAAACTCTCATGAGGAAAATGACGTGATCTTCTCGACTACTTTATAAGTGAATTAAATACCTCTCATTATGACAGCATTCGGCCAGTCCAGAATCAAATGTTCTGCAGAGCAAGCTATATGAATTCTATCACAATCACAACAAATTTGAACATTAGGCTAAGCAAAACCATCTAGAGAGAGAGAAAGAGAGAGAGAGAGGAGTAAAAGGACAAGAGGTTCATGGCTGAGAATAGAATGACTACACAACCTGTACAGATACTATTTTAGGATAACAAGCAACCTTTTCGGCAACCTGGAGGAACTTCATGACACCATATGGCGTTTCATTACTGAGACCAATGTATCTGACCTTCAAACAAAAATTTATTCCTTGTTATGTCCTGACAAAAGACAGAATAGAAAGGCCAAATCCATGGGACTATCACCTACCTTACCGGCATCAACAGCTTTGCCGAGAGCATCAAGTTGTTCCTCCAAGCTAATCGAATCATACTGTCGTTTTGGATCATATTCAGTTTCTCCAAACATTGGTACATACCTATGAAAACAGCCAAAAACCACTTTAAGAAGCTTATACAAGGGCTAAGGAGAAACAAAACAAACATGAAAAGTGAAGTCAATCAACTTCTGAACCACTTCAAAGAGAGTAAAATGAGACACAACTAAAAGAGAAGTTGGAACTACATACAAACCGGTCAGGCCAGTGTATTTGATAAAGGTCAATGTAGTCGATTTGTGCACGATGCAAGCTGCACAAGTTCGAAAAATGGCCCATTAGACCACAAAACAATTTGTTAATATGGAAATAATGGTTTATACATCTCAAACCATTGCCGAATATATGGAGACCTCAGTCCTAAATATAAGAAAAAATTCCGGTAGACATGAGTTCAAGCAATGAAAAAAAAAAGGACAGTCGTTTAGAAGTTTTATGTATGTCAAACAAAACACATGTGATCACAACTTTAAGATTGTTGGTATTATGAAAATCTAAAGGTAATATCAGCTTGGCCCTTCTAATTCTTTCAATTTGATATTCAATTAGACCCAAAGTTGAATGTAATAATACTATTGTTCGATACATAAACACCTATGACATTATTATTTCATAAAGGCTATACAAATTGTGTCAGCTTCAATGGCTATGTCCAAGTTAACATGCAAACACGGCAAGAATTGAAGAGTATGTCCTCTTCATGCATGTGATAATTTAAATGTACATAGAATTGAAAACAAAAAAAAGAAGTTAGGCTCCCCACTAGATCAATCCCTCAATACGCGACTTTTATGTTTTGCAACATTAATAGCATCTGGTACACAAACATCTAATCGGATATAGAGGGGTTGATCAGGGGATAGGATCCTAGCACTTAATAAATAATGAAACTATCCAGTTTAACGATCATAGCAAATAACAGCAACCAATTCAAAGGAACAACTTTTGGGTTACAACATTCACTTTCAAGTCAATGAAATCATAACAGCCTATTACAAGGCATATATGTAAATTAACCTATTGTTTATGGCCTCAGTTATATTCCTAGAATCCAAACACTTTGGTCCACCCCGAATCCAAGTCATTTGTCCAGATGGCCCAGCTACCTGCATCAAAACCTCTTTTGGTATAATTTTAACCGAAAATTAAAATCAAAGACTTACTAAAGATTGACAATTAACTAAAGATTGACAATTAACAGAAGCTAAGGCATAAGTGAAACGCTGAAACTAAAATACTATGAACTGACTATGAACTCCTAATTTCAATCCTAACAATTCTTTCGACCGATAAAATTCTACAAAGCGTACAAAGCCTGGATAGATAGTCATTTATTAAGGAGCACAACATTGAACAAATTGAAGTAAAATCTAAAATAAGAAAATTACACAGTGAAACTTAAAGGAAACCTTGGTAGAAAAGACTACTCGGTCACGAGGAATCTTCCTCGATCTAATCCAACGACCAAAATACTCCTCGCTTCTACCCTGAGTCTCAGAACGCTGAGGCACCGGATACCTACAGTACCAGCATCTCATAACAGTTAAAAAAAAAAAAGTCCAGATCGACGAGCGCGCAATGTAAAATGTGAAAAAGTACATCTCCGCGGAGTCGAAGAAGTTGATTCCAGCGTCGAAAGCTTCGTCAAGAAGGCGAAAGGATTGAGACAAACTGTTTTGCTCGCCAAATGTCATGGTTCCTGATGGAAAGTGAATAAAGCAGAATGTTTAAGGTTGTTTGAAAGAGAAAATGGGATAGACATTAGAACAATATGAGCACAAACCTAAGCAGAGCCTGGAAACTGGCAAGTTGGGAGCAAGGTTGATGATAGGAACAGACATTGCGCTGCTAAGAACCGTTTGCGTTGAGAGAGCCAGATGAGGAACCGGAAGCAGAAAAGAAAGAAAAAAAAACAAGGAAAATAAAAAACAAAACGGATGGAGATGCGGGGGATCGAACCCGGTGCCTCTCGCATGCAAAGCGAGCGCTCTACCATTTGAGCTACATCCCCTTTGGCGATTAAGGGATCAATTATTATCTAAATATGTTCGACTGGGTTGCGCATTTGCGCAAGAAAAAAATGCGGAAGATCCGAAAAGTAACTGATGGAGATGCGGGGGATCGAACCCGGTGCCTCTCGCATGGAAAGCGAGCGCTCTACCATTTGAGCTACATGCCCGACGGTTTAGAGGCGTAATAATTATTAAACATAATACATTTAACCATGTGGACATCTCCTTCATACTGAAATGTAATGTATAGCTTTGTTAAATAGGGTAGAACTGTAAATCTGGAAACCATTTCTCTCTCACAGAGCATGCTCTATCATTTGATTATTTAAGCTACATTAATTACACGATCATTTCTTTTATTTTTTCTGCTTTTTGCCTTCTGCTGATGAAGAAGGTCACCAAATTGTATAAAAGCTTAAATTTAAAAAATGAATTTAGTTCAGGACTCTGCACTACAGAGACTTGGTCAATTCATTTGGCACTTTGAACTTCATAATCGTTGAAGTTTTGGGTTCTTGTCCATGTAACATAATCAATTGTTCCCCAAAAGCAAATTTCACTCTCATTAAGAGTGAAGTGCACCATAAAAAAAGCCTTCCTACGAGTTTCTTAAACCAAAAACCAGCTTGAATTTCTCTATTATATAACAAATTCGATAACATCCCACGCCATTGCAGATTGGAATATCAAGTTCATCACCATTTTAGACCCGTAAATTCAAGTTTATTAGTAAATTCTTGAAATCCATAGCCACACAGAAAATCAAAATGATGCACAGAAAAGTAATTGGCAATATATATATTCAACCCAGAAAAAATTTAACCCAAATCAAAGATTATAAGGACCCAGATAAATTGTATCACAATCTTCGCAAAAACTCCCATGAAAGAATAATAAAACCAGATACTCCTAAAACTCTTGGGAGGCAGACCCAATATCCTTCCCTTTTCCCGTCTTTTTAGGCAAGAGATTTTGATGAATGTTAGGCAAAACGCCGCCGTTTGCAATTGTTACAGTCCCCAAAAGCTTGCTCAGTTCTTCATCGTTCCTAACAGCCAATTGTATGTGTCTTGGAACTATACGATTCTTCTTGTTGTCCCTCGCAGCGTTTCCCGCGAGTTCAAGAACCTAAATCATCAGATAATGCAACCAAATTCATCTCAACCAAAGCTAAAACCCTAATCCGCATCCGATGAGATCATAAATTTTTTCAATAGATAACAGAAAATCCAAACGGAAGAAATGCATCGGTGAGTCAAAACCGAGACTAACCTCAGCAGCGAGGTATTCGAGGACGGCAGAGAGGTAGACCGGAGCACCGGCGCCGACACGATCGGCGTACTTTCCCGCCTTTAGGAAACGAGCGATACGGCCAACGGGGAACTGCAGGCCGGCCTTCTGGGATCTGCTCACAGACTTGACGGACTTCGGCTTGCCACGTCCACCCTTAGTCGATCCTCCTGAACTCATGATTTTTGATATTGGAACTAAAACCTAACAGACGAGAGGTGCGAAAAGCTTGTTGATGGTGTTTGGAAGATGGCGGAAGATTGTTGAAGAAGAGTAGGAGACAAGGAGGTATTTGAGGGGGATTGAGAATTGATTTGATTGGCTGGTGGGATTATCACGCGGATTGCCAACGTGGAAAGCAGTGGCTTCCGCAGCAAACCTTGTTTGAGTTCGCGGGCTTTTGGAAATTTCCGGGGGAAAAATATTTAGCCCATTTTTTTCTATTTGGGCCGAATTTTTTAAAATAATTTTAAATTTTTAAATTTTAAAAAGTATATATTAAGAAAATATTAAATATAAATAAAGCAATTTAAGTATTTATTTTTTCTTCCATATAAAACGACATATTTGTAGTGGCAAAGTTATTGTTTTATGTTGAAAAGTTATAAAATATTGAATGATTTTTTGGTGATATTTTATGTATAAATATTACTTTGTATTATTACGTAAATATTATAAAAATAACGTAAATAATTGGAGAAAAATATATTATTAGAAATATTTTTTTGTAACTAATTAAATAATTTATTCAATTAAACTAAAAGTTCAACATCAGTTGGGAAGTCCTCCCGTATATGAAAATTTGAATACAAAAACGCAGAACGAGTAAATATTATGCACTAATTTATTTTCACTTCTTCTACTCCATTTACAAGAGACATCTTATCTACTCTTTAGCAATATCTATAGTCATGGACTATGTACCTATATTCATAATTATCTTCAACATTATATATCAATACAGAAAGAATCATCTGAACATTCGTCTCTATTAATTTCGGATCTTAAACATTGTTAACAATAAATTGTAATGTTTGTCGGCACAATAAGAATTCTGCAAGGTATACCAAACGTGATACTTCGCATCCTTCCTGACATAACATTACGTGCTTGACCCTGTGAATCCCTTATAAGTACCCCAAACTCGGTCTCCTTGGCGGACATGCTCATGGAAGCACCCACGTTGCATTTCCATATACATGGCCTTAGGGTTTGTTAATGTAAGAAATGTATTTTGATTAATATTATATAAATCTAAAACTAGTATATTTAATATCCATATATATATAATTTAGGAATTTTACAATTTTTATAAGCATGATTTATAAAGGATAAAATAAATATATTATCTATTACGCACTCGAACTCTTTTAAATTTAATTTTAATTAATAAAGCAAATAAATTTTACTAATAATTTATTGAATATAAAGTGATTAATTATATCTATTTAATATAATACTATCATTAAATAATTTTATCTAATAACCATTAAAATTTATATTAATTAATCTATCATTATTATTTTAATAATTGTTAATAACTTAATAAAATAATTATACTAAATATTTATCTCACTTACTCACTTTGTTTAAATAGAACGAGATGATCGAGTAAAATTTATCGTATAATTATCATTTATAGCCGATTTATTTCAATCCGTCCATTTTGGTATCTACAAAAGAATTTATGATCAATTTTTTTTCTCAAACAAGAAGAATGTATTAGTTTGAGTATGAACAAGAAAATGAAAACGAAATCTAAGTTTATTTATTAGTATAAACTTAAATTATATGTATAATATTTATCTTATATATAGTGGTCTCTAAGGGCATATTCGTTGGAATATATATATATATATGTATATGTTTGATCCATCAAAATCTCTCAAGATATCCTTCCCACCTTCAGAATCAAACTTGAGAGCTTCCTCTCATCCGGCTCAAAAGATTATACAAAATAAAGCTGAGAAATGGAAATCTCTCTTTCAAACGAACAGGGAAAATAAATCCGCACGCGCGAGAACGTGGATAAACTGTTCGTTTTCTCGGAAAATTCTGAGGCTACCTAAAGAAAATAAAATCATTGTAGCAGAGAAATGTAACGACTGAATCAAATTGAAATGAAGATGAAGAAAACAAAAATTTCCCTGACAGAAAGAAATGAACAAAGTCAATTCTTAATTCCCATTACTCAAAAAAGAAGATTTTTTTACAGATGAGTTTTGAAACTTTCATTACATCAGACTTCTGTATGCTCCTTCAAATTCCCAAATAACCCCCCACCCCTAATTCCCAAACAACTATTTCTCCTACCCTAAAACTCCTGCGACGCAGATCCAATCTCGCCCTTTCCCTTGCCGGATTTCTTCGGCAACAAATTCTGATGAATATTCGGCAACACCCCACCATTGGCGATCGTCACACCCCCCAACAGCTTACTCAACTCCTCGTCGTTCCTCACCGCAAGTTGAATATGCCTCGGAACAATCCTGTTCTTCTTGTTGTCTCTAGCTGCATTCCCCGCCAACTCCAGAACCTAAAACAAAGTAAAGCGAATTAAACACTCTAATCCTCATCCTCTCAAAAACAACACAAAATCTGATGAAGCAAATTAGATGAGCATTTTGAGAAATCGACTAACCTCAGCAGCAAGGTACTCGAGAACGGCAGAAAGATAAACCGGAGAACCGGATCCGACTCGCTCAGCGTACCGTCCTTTTTTCAGGAAGCGAGCGACCCGGCCGACGGGGAACTGAAGACCGGCCCTCGCTGACTTGGAGACCGACTTGGTATCTTTGGATCGGCCTCTTCCTCCCTTGGCAGAGATAGTTTGAGAGCTCATGGTTGGATTCTCTGTGAAAAAATGATAGAAATTCGAATACTGAGGGGGAGAGACGAAGAGATTTGTTTCAAAAGAGTTTTATGATGGTGGGAATGGAGCGAATATGGGGTGGCGTTATTATATAGACTGAAGCGGTGCGTTTTGATTGGTACGTCCAATGTTCGCTCGGATTGCCAGCGTGGCAATAGTCCGGATATGGCGGGTGATTGGAATGTTTTGGTTTTCCCGGGATTGCCAACGTGGCGGGAGTCAGTCATCGGGAATTTTTTTAAAATTTTTAGAATTTTTTTAAATGAAATATGGGATTATTTTACGCATCGACCAAACGACGTCGTTTCTTTGATTTGAATTCAAGAAAAATTAGCTACAAGATATGAACATACAGATTACAGATTACAGATTACAGAGAACGAAACTCATGAAAACAGAGATTTGAATCTGCTATTCAAACAATCAACCTCTCTCTCCTTCTCATGACAAACATGGAGAGCAAGAGATGGATGATTCGTGAATCGAGCCAAGTTCAATGGAACCAAACCTTTGAGACTCTTCAAGTTAGCCATGGCGCCATGTGCCACTAACAAAAGAGCAACCTCTACATGCCCTGCCTCCGCGGCGCAATGCAGCGGCGTGTAACCAGCGTCGTCAATTTCATCGATCCGAGCTCCTTGATTCAGCAAAACCTTTATGCACTCTAACCTACCTTTAAAGGCAGCTCTGTGCAGAGGCGTCCACCCGTTCTGGTCCTTCCCGTTAACCTTCGCCCCTGCCGCCAGGTAGCTCTTGATCCCGTGCACGTCGTCTACTCTCGCGGCTCGCTGCAAAACATCCCCCAGATGAAGCGCGTCGTACAGATCTGAGTGCTCGTTTTCCAGTGCAAGCGCGAAAGCGGTCTTACCTTCTCTATTCACTGCGTATTTGGTGAAACTAGAGGTTTGGAGCAGGCATTCCACCGCTTTCAAATTACCTTTTTCAGCTGCCAAATGCAGGGCGCTGAACCCATTATTGTCGAGAATCTCGATTTTCCCTTCGAGAGAGGCGCAGTATTGGATCACCTCGCTGTGCCCGTGAGTTGCTCCGATGTGCAACGGAGTTCTGCCTTGTGAATCAACTGAATTAACACTTATCGTGTCTTTGAATCTTGTTAACAGAACTTCCATCACATCCACTCTGTTGATTGCCGCGGCATCGTGGAGTACATGATCGATTGAACTGTCAATTTTGCAACCGGAATTAATCAAGAGCTTAATGATCTCCATGTTTCCAGCTCGAACAGCTAGCGAAATCATGGACCGTCCATTTCGGTCCCTGCTATTGGCAGCGCCACCATGATCAATCAAGCCAGCCGCCAGATTTGCATTACCTGATACGACGGCCGATCGGAGCAACGCCGTGAGCTCAGACCGACTACAGACAGAAACCGCCTTGTTGAAGAAGGGAGAAATATATGGGAGCTGTGTACTATGAGATATGAGATCTTCAATCACATGGGGGCCAACAAGGGAGATTGGTATAGTCGCGTCCTTCAAGATATGGGGGCCGGACTTGGAGAAGAAAAGAGGCAGACCCTCCTTCGGGGCTTTTCCTGTCGGTAGCGTGGAGGTTTTGACGGTGATGACATTGGGAGGAGCTGCGGGAGGGGATTGATCAAACGGCGGAGAGAGGATGAGATCATACGATAAAGAAGAGAGTGGTGGGATAATGGAGAAAGGCTTGTCGAAAGAGAAGACCGATGAGTTTGTGGTGGTCAATGACACCGCAACAGACATGGTGTGCATCAGGTTGGTTAAACGGAAGGTTGTGGTGCACTGTTGGCCCCTCTTAAAAACCAGGTCTATTTCTTTCACGTCTGGCTTCACCAACTTATCCATGGCGCAGAGAACAAACCCTTTTGTTTCTCCAGAAAATATGAACTGGGTTTTGTTCTAGGGGGAGGAAAATGGAGGAGGAAGGAAGGTGAAGCTGGTAAGATGGTCCCCTTTTTCTCTTTATCCTCTCTTTATTAAAATCCGATTAGATGTTGATTAGAATTTTCTAGTTGATTGTTTGTTTGACTAGTTTATTGCTGAATAGAGTTAATTAGTGGGTAAAATTATTTTTAATTTGCTGGTTTAGGTTTGGAGTAATGACCTATGGGTTGGGGACATTGACAATGAGAGGATGTTGGAGTCATTCTAGTCTTTGTTTGAATAAGCAACAGTCTTCTTCAATTGGGAAGGACAATGGAGCACTTTTATTGATTTATGAAATATTAACTACCATACCATTTTTTTATTCTTCTTCCTTTTTTTTAATTGATTTTTTCAATTAGTTCTCTTGCGATAAGATGCACAATTTAGATCTAAACTCTCTCACTTTTAAAGAGATAAATGATCGAAATAACCATTCAGACCAACAAATAATTTATCTATTCTTTGTTTAATTACGAACAGACACTCATTTTGATCAAATCTCCAAGGTGGACCATTAATAGTCTCACCTCCAGCTGTTAGGTATGCAACGTGTACTTGTTCAGTCTACAACACAAAATGGACTTTATCCAATCACAGATGGAAAAAAGTTTATCTTGCTCAGAATTTTAAGCAGATCCTCAGGCACAATTTACTGCTTCTATAAGGAAAAAAACACCAGGTAACTTTGCTTCTTGGTTCTTTTTTGGTTAGTTCCCTTTCAGTACAAGTTAATTTTCTACACACTTACTTGATTTAGGCTCATAAACTATCAAAATGTACTCTTTTTGCATAATTAAGAAAGCATGTGTTAAGGTTTGATTGACTAAAACCATACTGCTCCAAACGGTTGATATTTTGTTAGCATCACTCCTTGTGTAGGAAGAACCTTGAGGAAGAGATTGCAGACGGTTTCAGAAATGGACAACAAAAAACCAATAATTTGACCACAAGATCAGTTTTGAGACCATTGTTTTATTTGATGAACTTATATTTCCTGAATCTGCACGATAAGTCATCACATGAGCCAAATTTTAGGTCTAAATGGAATTGAACTAATTTATCTAAGAAGTATAAGCTTATAAAAGAATTCAAGTAAAAAATAAAGAAAGCCAAATAGTGGCAAAGGCATGGAATTTTGACAGAATTAAAAGAAAATAAATTTTCCAATAATTCACGAGTAAGAGAAAGAACAAGTTTAAGGTGTAAGTTAAAAATTTTTCGTTCTCATATAGTATGAAATAACAGAGTTATATTGATTTTAAAAGGATCTAAAGTGATAAAAATTAAGTGATTTATTATATATATTTAACATAATCTATGGAAAATCAAGATTCTCTGACAATTCAATTTGGCAGGATGTAGCCTAGCTTTCCATGATTTTTTTTTAAGTATATTAACAAGGAAATGTCATCCTTTGTTAAAGTTGAATAAGATTTTTTAGTCTTTAGTTATATTAAAAAGAGTTATCTGCTTGAAATTTCAAGTAGGGTCCTGATAAACACTATACACTAACCACTCGTCATTTCTTTAACCAATAAAATGTGAAGTTGTGGCTTCAAATTATTATTATAAATCTGGTGATATCACAGTTGTCATTTTTCATGGCTCATTGCATGGACGTTTGTAGACAAAAAAGGACGTTCATTTAATATCTTATTGCACATTGGCACAAGATAGTGTTTTTAATAATTTGTTGCTGTAAGCATGATATATTTATGAAAATGTTGCTTCAGAGACCTGGGAAGAACACATTTCTAATTATTTTTTATTCTTCTTTTTTGGGATATCCTGTTCTTTTTTTTTTCTTTGCATGTTCTAAGTGAGAAAGTTGAAATTTATTCTAAGATATGCTTAGTTTCTGTGCGTCGAGACTGAACTCTTCCTTAAATAATCTGAAGGCACAACCTGTATTGTTTGTAAAAATGCTGTTTGGAGGAACCAAAAGCAAATGGTCAAAATAAAAACTAAGTTTTTTGCTATAGCTTGTTATCTCGTTGGGGTAAAAATGATAAGACCCTAAGAGCATAGTTAAGATACTTTAAGCTTGATAAATGCTTATGATCAATCATATTATGCTTTAGTTTTCCAGTTCATTTTTAATCAAGTCACAAGAAGGTGGAAATTGGAATTATATGTCATGTGGTTGGAATAACCGAATTCTATTTCTGCGTTTTGGTCTCTTCACTTGGCTTCATCAGAAATGGTGGGCTAAGACAAAGGATACTGCAGTTTCTAGTAATGAAAATGGGAACTTAGGACAATTATGAGTTATGAAGATAGAAGATATTGTAACTGTTTGATTTTGGTTAGAAAAACAAAATACTAGCGGCTACTAAAATGTCGATGGCAAGTCACCTATTGACCCTCCAAATTCGGTGATAAAGACAAAATGCAAGGTAATGAAAGAGTTATCTGTAATTTAGTTCTCTTGCTTTCTTGATTTCTAGAAATGTTGTCATACGTCAAAATTTTCTTTTTAATCTGTTGCTTGTTTATAGCTGAGTTATTTTACATTGATCAAAATAGTTGTTACACCCTAACATAGTTTTGGCATGGCTTGTGCTTGTACTGTAGCAAATCTAAGACCTATGGCGATGGTCATAATTAAATATTTACAAAGAAAGAAAGAAAGGAAAGACTTCATCTCCATAGATCTTAAAGTAAACATGGTTTGATGAATTACTCAGTTATCTCAACTCTTTCAATACGTCTGTTTTTCTTCAACATATATGGACTGATTCTTTTTTTTTCTTGGTCAGAAATTAAATCTTTCTAATTTCATATTCATTTTTATAATTCTTCATCATTAGATGATTTGAATAACTTTATTTTCAGGTATGAAATGTATCTTTATCTTTACTTACAATGAAAGAAGATTCTGAAACCAGTGGATTGCTTAAATCCTTAAGTCTGACTCAATTGACCTGCATTAGAAGACTTTCTGTGTATATTTTAAATCCTGAATTTTGAATTCTCTGCTGCCCAAGTTTGAAAACTTCAAAATTGAAGTTTTTACATTTAATATTCCTGGCCATACCCTTAAAAAGACTTTTATTTCTATTCTGCCAAATTGGGTATTCATCAACTGAAAATTTTTATGTTCTGCCAAATTGAAAACTTATTTGTTTTTAGCACCCAATACTTTTTCTTAATTGAAAATTTTGTAGGCTTCATTAGTTAAGTTATATATGTATATATATTGATCATAAGATAATTGAAAATCTTGTAACATGGGCCCAGCCCGTTTCTTCTTCGATGACCCATCGGAGCTTTCCCCCCGTCTTCATCTTCGAAGTGAAACAAACAACCATTACAGCAATCGCTGCAAGCGAATTGGGTAATCAATTCCTGAATCAAATCGTTGATTAACATCGAACAAATATGCGTCGGGAGAAGAGCCCTGGCTTGAAGATCCTCTGGCTCTGGACTCTCGGAACCGCCGCTAGTAACTCACCTCCCTTCTTCTTCCTCCATGCACATATGCACACAATCATATATTCACGCTCACATTCTTCTCCTTGTTTCAGTTGTGGTTACATATGTGGTGAGAACCAGGCTGCGAGACATGGAACGGTTCATGAACAACGAACAGCAACAGCAGCAACAACAGGGTAACGCCCATTCAATCATGGTGGACACCCTACCGGAATCCGACGAAGGAATCGTCGAAGATGTTAAAAGGAAATAATAGGTTAGTTTCTGAACATCGTCGAGATATAGAGAAATGGATTGTTTATTCGTTAAATTAGGGTTCGCGTTCTACTTGCTGAGAGAATAAGTGTGTATTTTGTGTGTGCACGCCATGTGTTCGTTTAATGGCTTGAATGAAGATTTTGACTTTTCGTCGAAACTGTGATCTTCCTCTCGAAACAGTCGGTTTTTCTGAATTATTACCGGTCTGGCCTATCCGGACCATCCCCGAAAATAGTATATACCCGGTTTTTCTAAATGGGCTCCTCGAGACCCAGATTAAACTGGATCGGGTCTTCAGTTTTTGGGTTTCTAATTCTCGTTAAGAAAGAGTTTGTGTTATGATTTTTGGGGTTGTTAGTTCTTTGTTAAGGATTTGTATCATGTGTCTTGAAATCAAATTAAACCAGGTTTTTAGTTCTTGTTAAGAGTTTGTGTAATGTGCCTTGAAATTTTACTGAATCGGGTTTTTAGTTCGTGTTATGTGTTACTTTTTGTCCCGGAAATAATGTCTACTGGATTTTTCTAGATGGGTTCCTCGAGACCCAGATTAAACTAGAGTTTTTGGTTCTTGGGTTTTTAATTCTCGTACCTTCTGGATTAGTTCTTATTAAGAGTTTGTATCACCTGTCTTGCTATTAGTCTGTGTTGTGTTACTCTTTGGCCCAAAAATAGTGTCTACCCAGTTTTTCTAAATGGGCTCTTTGAGACCCATATTAAATTGGATCGAGTTTTTTTTGTTTTCGTTTTGGATTCTAGTTTTCGATAAGAGTTTGTGTTACGCAGCTTTTCGATATTAAACTAAATCTGGTTTTTAATTTGTGTTATGTTAGTGTCTACCTAGGTGAGCTCTTTGAGACCAAAGATTAAACTAGATCAGGTTTTTAGTTCTCGCTGAGAGTTTGTGTTATTACTTGTCTAAGTTTTAGTTCTTAACTGAGATGTATTGATATTAGTAAATTGAAATGCTGTGTGTTTTTATTCACGGTTAATATATGTTTAATATAATATACAAATTTTCACTCAAAAAAGCTATATGTTTGACTGTCAAGCATTGTAACTGTCGGA